GCTATTGTTTCAACCAAGCAATCCCATTTCAGTTTCACATTTATTTTTTGTTGTTAATAAAGGTTTTTACTGAGTTTCCAATACCAGTTTAACAGAAGATTTATAACAATAGATGGCAGGTAGACATTCAGCTATCACCTATGGACTGGCATTTTACAATATCTGGAAGGGCCTGGAGAACTGGTTCCCAGCAACACAATGAAATATCAACACAATTCTGGGAGATGGGGAAAACAGGATTTGGACATTTGTGAAAGGCCATAATAGCTGGAATGTCTCATTCCCTGATTAAATTTTGGTCATGTTAATTCTATTGACTTTCAATCTATTTTAAAGGTTGACTCTTCCTGTTGACCATCACCAATTATCTTGCAAAATATTTCTATTATGCCTATATTATCAGAAACTGCAGTTCCAGCGAGATGCATTGTCTTGTTACAAAAAGAATCTGTCATGGCCAAGCTACATTCCACACTATGAGATGGAAGCACCTCTGCATGAATGATTACTTGTTCCTGTCATTTCTACAATGTAAGCACCAGAAAACACATTCTACCTCTGTGTCTCATTGTCCAAACTGTTCGACAGACTCTTCTAAAATGAAGAAGGGGAATGTCATTGTCTTGCTTGACATGCTATGATTGCGTTGCTTTTGGTTCCTGAGCAGATCACACTCAGAGACTCCAAATGTACTGTAAATTTTAGTGTCACAGCATAATTGTCTCATTTTTAACACATTCTTATTCAATTGAATGAATAACAATTGAAATTCTTTCAAATAAGAAATGTGGAAAAGTATCAGGAATGAGAGAAGTGTTCCAATTCTTATTTAAATAGCTAAGAATCTAAATGAGTATCCTATGCTTCTTTATATAGTCTGCCAATTTTTTTAAATTTATTTTTTGGAACCATGCTGAAATGGATTGACTCAGACTCAATAGAGGTCTAAATGCACTGGGCCCTGGATAGATGATTTCTTTATATTTCCCTATAAGGATTGGGGAACCAAACATATATTTTGTAAAAGCAAATGTATAAAAGGGATATGTGAATGATTTCTATATTCTCTTCTATTACTATTACTATGGCAATTACTATACTCTAAACTATTACTATTTAATTGCCATGACAAACCTAATACTATATACAATGTGTGCATGACAGCCCTCCTGCGCATGTGTGCACCCCCACGTGCAAGCTCCCCCCCACCCCCACACATGTAAGCATGACCCCTCCCATGCGCCATTTTGGGTAGCAGGCCTCTCTGAAGCCTCCTGGGACCAAAAAAGGAGCGTGGGGGATGTGGTGTGGGGGGTGCTTCCCCCAGCTGCCCCCCCCTGCATGCCAAGCTGTTACAGGTGTTATGTCTGCCTTTTATGCAGCTTTATTCCTCTCTAGCATTCATCTCCATTGTTCAGTGATACATTTCCTGCCTCTCTAGGAATTACCTCTATCTGCTCCTGTGAGGCACTTCCTGTTCCTGTTAGATGTATAAATAGCTCAGCTGGGGCGAGGGCTCATGTGCTGGCAGAGAGGCCTATGCGTGCCACCTGTGGCACATGTGCCATAGGTTCACCATAACAGTTATATACTATTATTCAATATGCTACATTACTATTACCTATATGCTTATACTTATGTATATACTTATACATGTATAACATATGCTTATATAGGCTAAGCATCAAAGAATTGAGGCCTTTGAACAATGGTGCTGGAGAAGACTCCTGCAAGTCCCTTGGACTGCAAGGCAATCAAACCAGTCAGTCCTAGAGGAGATCAATCCTGACTGCTCTTTAGAAGGCTAGATCCTGAAGATGAAACTCAAATACTTTGGCCACCTAATGAGAAGGAAGGACTCATTGGAGAAGAGCCTAATGCTGGGAAAGATTGAAAGCAAAAGAAAAAGGGGACGACAGAGAATGAGGTGGCTGAATGGAGTCCATGAAGCAGTCGACGTGAGCTTAAATGGACTCCACGGGATAGTAGAGGGCAGGAAGGCCTGGAGGAACATTGTCCATGGGTTCGTGATGGGTCGGACACGACTTCACAATTAACAACAACATATGCTTATACTATTATTAATATGCATTGATGCTCTTAAGTTTCTTCTTTTTCTGTTGCTGGACAGCATGTAAAGTTGTTGCGCCTTATTTTATGTTTGTCTTCCTAGATTTCTATATCTCTTTTCATCTCTTTTGGACCAACTACTACTGAACAAAAAAGTGTCTTCTTTTATTTGCCTGCTATACTCTATTTGCTGGCGGCCGCAGAGATCCAAAATATGGAATTCCTCCCACACCTGTTGCAGCTTTATTGGAGATTCCTTTGGGCCATTGTGGGTAACCCTCACAAGGGAGGAAAAGAAGGTAGCACAGCTGCCTGCAATTTTGTTCAAGCAGCCTGCTCTTCCACATAGTCATCTGTCCTAAAATCTGTTCTTCTCTAGCTTTCTATATTTCACTTAGAATCCTTGAAACACTATCTACCATCAAGGTTTTTCAGTAGTCATTCTATTTTTTTAATTTATTTTTTTGTATTGTTATATGATGTTTTTGAGACATGAGTGGATAATTTCTCCACTCGCTGGAGAAACTTGTAAGAATTGTTTAACCCAATCTCTCTGCCTATAAATTTGGGGAGAAAATTGAAAGACTGTCTGTGCCCATATCTACTCTTTGACAATAGATAACCAACATTTTCTTTTAGAAATGAAAATATTTTTCACTAAGCCCTTTTGATGAGCTTCTAAAATGCTTCTAAAATGAGAGACACATAAAAATTTTAGGTTTATTTTCAGGTTTCACATCATATATACAGAGTACTTAAAGTTTTAGAACATATTCTCCTAAAAATGTATCTCTATATTTTGGAGGCGTTTTTTTGTGGATAGTGCTTATCATTACTGATAATTGGCTTTATTAAGGCTGATGGGAATTGGAAATCCAGCCGTAGGCCCTAAAATGGAAAAAACTGCCTTTCCTGTGAGGGCTTCTCTTTTCTCCTTATTTTAGCGAAGAAGGTTACAGAACTCCCAATTTTCCATTCTTGATCATACTAGCAAATGAGCTCCTGGTAACTATTTATAAACAAGGGAGCCGTTTATTTTATGAAATCCCTTGCTAAAACAAGCTAATTAAGAATTATTCTGAAATTGCATTGGAATACATTGGTATGCATTAGTATATAATGTGATGTCTATTTTTTTTAATAAATGACTCAGAGTAACTACAGGCACTATTAGCATTGACTAATAAATAACATGGGTATTTCTAAACTCCAGGACATTGCAGATTAATATTTCAATTTATAATGACACCATATTAAAAACAACTAATTCACTGAGAGGCAGAGCAGACAATGCTATTAGTATGACAATGCATAGATATTTTTGGGGAAGGAGTATATAAGGTGGTAAACATGAAGTCAGCAGATATATTGGAAGGCCTAAATCTGCTTCTAATGAATCTGCTTCTATTATAGACTCAGGAAGCTCTTTTAATGGCACAGTAGACACATGTGTGTAAACATTTATGATCAGAAACATGGAGATTAAGAGAAAAGAATTAAAAAGGTTTTGAAGTTTAGATATAAATGAGAAACACTAGCCATGTCACACTTGAATAATTTAAATTTAAAATAGGTAAGCAAGTTGAAATAGGCAATTCAGCACAACATATGGCTCACAGATCACATGTGGTCAGGGGTGAGCTTCAGATCCTTTAGCAATGGGTTTGCTGCCCCGTTGCTGGGTGGGCATGGCCATGGTGAGTGTGCCTAGTCAGCCACCTGCATCATGGCAGGGGGCGTTTTTCACCCTCCCCAGGCTCCTCAAGCCTCTGGGAGGGCGAAAACTACTTCCCCCGGGGTCTGGAGGCCCTCTGGAGGCTGGAAACAGGCCTGTTTCTGGACTTCCAGAACCTATGGTAGGCCCATTTTTTTCCCTCCCAGACCCTCCACACGGCCCCTGCACTTACCTGGAATGATGAACAGGCTGCATGGAGACTCCTGGCAGGGGCAGGGCGGGGCGGGCATGGTCATCCAGGGGTGGCATTTGGGGATTCGCTGAACCCTGGTGATCCTTGGCTAGAGGATCACCCGAACCCTGCTGAAACTCCAGGAGCCCACCCCTGCATATGGCCCAGCAGTATTTTTTAAAAGTCAAAAAAATTACCAATAGTGTCACCCAAATGATGCATTGTTGAGTGTCTGCAACATCTCCAGGCATTATCATGATCATCAGCACGGAGCTAGCTGCCAGACAGCCGATTGGTTTTCCAGATATTCCTTTGCAGCCCACAATTATCTTTAATTTATCGATGTGGCCTTTTTACTTCTAAAAAATTGGGATCTGGGAGCTCCAATGATCCATGTTAAATTAGTTTCCCACTTTGAAGATGTTATGCGTTCTTTTCAAAATCAACACCAGTGTGCCACTCGACTATTTTATAGAAGGGGTGGGATAATTAAAAAAAATATATAACAAAGGCAGAGATAATAAATTTTTAAAAAGGCTCAAAGAAGTACATGAATTAGTAGCGTATCTGATCTGGAGAAATATGGGTTTGGAGCAGTGCAGGAAAAAATTATGAAAAGTACAAGGGTATCAGACTAAGGGAATAGAATATTGCCTAAAAGGATAAAGGATAAACAAAACATCTGCCCCTAAAAAAGCATCTCCCAAATTTCTATATCTAGTTCATTGGAAGCCCTCTAGTCCAGAGGTTCAAATTTGACAGCTTTAAGGTTCAAACTTGACAGCTTTAAGACTTGTGGACTTCAACTCCCAGAATTCTCCAGCCAGCATAGCTTGAAGACCTCTGCTCTAGTCTTTTGTTCAGTCCTGTTTCATGTTTCATCTCTTCATTTAAAGTAAATAAAAATCAGAAATTACATCACATTTATGTCAGAAACACTGAGGTGCTTCCAGGTTGAAAAGATTAGCTGGTGACATCACAGTTGCCCAGTGCATACCCAGTTGGTCCTTTCATGACCCATGCAGGAGCTGGACCAAAGGACAGGAGTTCACCCTGCCCCATGGCAGCATGCAAGTCTCAAACACAGGCTTGATGCTCATCAAGTCAGCATCTTAATCATGGAAGCCACTGTGGTCCTGTAAAACCAGAAATGGAGGGTAGAAAAATCAGCATTTAAGAATGTGTATGTTGGGATCTTTAGTATCAATATTTCCCAGAGGAAAAAGTGATCCAAGTTCTACTTGGAATCTAATAGGCAGCATGAGTATATTTTACTCCCATACTGTCTGACCTTTTCTAAATCAAGGGAATCAAACTATACAATATTTATTGTTGTTAAAAGTGTAAATTTGACTCCAAATCAGTTACACATAGTTTTCCTCTGGGAATTTAATTTCATTGTTTGTAGCAGGAATTAGGTATTGAAAAGAAGTGATACTAAAAACAGAATGGTATACAACTGTTTACTGTTTGATCTGTTTAAGAATAGCTTTTTTTTTTAATTCCTGAGTGTGGTGGGGCCTGACAGAGTATACTTTAATAATATGAATGCATTTTGAGATAATTTCATTAAACAGGATGTTAATATAAGCAACACAATCAATATAGTAATGATTAACTTAGCCAATGATTGGAAATCTTCTTCATCTATTTCATGCTGTCATAAACATTTTGATTTATCATAGGATTATTTGCTGAATCTATGCATGCTTCTCAAAGATTGGTACTTGGCAAAGAGACCTTTCGCGTTGCAAGAGCAGAAGTCAGCAGGAGATCAGAAATTCTATCAGTAGACATTTCAGTTAATAAAAAAGGAATGCTGAAAGAACATTACGGGAAGGGAATTTTTATAGAGTTTTAATTTTAATAGAATAGAATAACAGAGTCAGAAGGGACCTTGGAGGTCTTTTAATCAAACCCCCTGCCCAGGCAGGAAACCCTACACCACTTCAGACAAAAGGTTATCCAACACCTTCTTAAAAAATTTCCAGTGTTGGATCATTCACAACTTCTGGAGGCAAGTTGTTCCACTTATTAATTGTTCTAACTGTCAGGAAATTTCTCCTTAGTTCTAAGTTGCTTCTCTCCTTGATTAGTTTCCACCCATTGCTTCTTGTTCTACCCTCAGGTGCTTTGGAGAATAGTTTGATTCCCTCTTCTTTGTGGCAACCCCTGAGATATTGGAACACTGCTATCATGTCTTCTTTTAATTAAACTAGACATACCCAGTTCCTGTAAGCGTTCTTCATATGTTTTAGTCTCCAGTCCCCTAATCCTCTTTGTTGCTCTTCTCTGCACTCTTTCTAGAGTCTCAACATCTTTTTTACATTGTGGCAACCAAAACTGAATGCAATATTCCAAGTGTGGCCTCACCAAGGCATTATAAAGTGGTATTAACACTTCACATGATCTTGATTCTATCCCTCTGTTTATGCAGTGCAGAACTGTGTTGGCTGTTTTGGCAGCTGCTGCACACAGCTGCCAAAAAATTAATAAAATGTTAGTATATATTATGTTCTATGGGCATCTCATTAAAGGGATCTTTGAAAGTTATTGTATTCAATGAATTCCTGAAGGTTCTGTTTTGTTGTTTCCAGATAACTAAAGCTAGTAATTCTTTCAATTCCTAATCTTACAGTGGAATAGCAAGTATGCACCTCCCCAACACTGCAGAGTACAGAATATTGTCTAACAGAGAACTCTAAGCAATGAAGAAGATCAGACAACAGCTAGCTTACTGATTGTAAAGACCTGATTCCAAATGGACATGCCTTATAATGTAAATATCTACACCACTAGTAGTGAGTCCAGCAAAGAGATGCTGTCTTCTTCGTTGTTCATCTTTCTAATAATCTAAATTGTGTCACTTTTAAATGAGGTGCCATGCTTTTGTTTGTTGTTTGTTTTTCCAGTTTTGTGGATTAAGTTTCAACTTTAGTCCATCACGGCTAATTCAAATTACTGACTGGGTTAGGATCAAGGTGCTCAGGAAACAATAAAGACAATCGCTCTTAAGGAACAATGGCATGGCTATTTCTAAAAAAGATCTCCTTGGACCTGAAAAATTATAATGTATTAGCCTGTAGTAAGTGTCAAAGGATGAAGTAAATCTAGTAAATCAAAGGATGAAGTAAATCTAATTACAAATATTCTTGGATGATTCAGGTTACATATCTGGACTATAGAATATACTATCTGGACTATAGAATATTATATATATATATACACACACAGAGAGAGAGAGAGAGAGAGAGAGAATAATATAGAAGAGAGAGAGAGAGAATAGTATAGAATAAATTTGCCTTGGTAGTTGGGGAAACTACTTATTCTGGAAAAAGAATTAGTTTCTCTCTTTTTCTGAAGGAACAAGTCATACTTAAGAGATATTTCTGAATCCCACATGGTTATTTGACCCAGGTGACTTCCGAGGTAGGAACATTTATTAGTAGCTGGACTTGATACATCTGTTTTATCTATTTTGAGGTAGGAAAAGTTTGGCCATAATGGTCCATGTTTCAATACACTCAGTATTAGACTACTGTTACACATTCTCTTTCTTCTTGAAAGAAACTGGAGTTATAAATTGAATGAAGGGGAAAGGATACTGATTGGCTAGTGGTTAGATTACAATCTTTCCTGAAAAACCTACACTTGCTAAGGAGCCAGATTCAAGGTTTTAGTGTTATTATCCAGAGTTGTTCATAATTCTGGGCCTGGTTATTTAAAATAATAATTTTAAATTCAGCAGCTTTCTATGACCCATGAACCTCAAAAATACAGTATTTCAATTCTCTACTCTGGGATTTTCCATCTGTAGCAAAATGAAGAAATTTCCAATATTCCTCTCTGAGCACTTCTCCTCAGTTTTTAACCACTTCTAAAGTTGATACATGTTAGTATTTTTTAAAAAGAAATGTATGTATCCTTTCTACTTTGCTTTCCACAGCCATTATCTATGTTTTAAAAAATTGATCGTTTCATTCTTTATTGTATGCTTTTATAACCACTTAAGCCACTTCAGGACTTAAAAATTAAAAGGTAGTATATAAATGCTATAAACAAACGAATAAATCCCACTTAGTATGCTTTTGTTATAGGCATGCTCAGATTCTGAAACAAGATATTTTGGACAGATCTTTGAGAAACTTTCAGTTTGCACTTCTGATATTCCAGAGCCCTGGAAATTGTTGCACAATGGCAACGGTGTAAGAAAGGACCATTGGGTTAAGGCAGGGAGAGAAAATGGCGATAATCAACAATTTCGGAAATCAGCACTTAACATTAAAGTGTTGCTGCAGTGTTCTTCATGATCAGGTGAGTAGGATCAATCAACATTAGCATCATGGGAATAGAATGTGATTTCTTTTATTCTGCTCTAAGCATTAGTTCATTCTTAGAACTAAAGTACATGTTATGTGTTATGACATTGCTTCCCTCTGTTTATAAAGCAAAGGCAAAGATGGTGGCTTGCTATGGAGTAAGGTCACACCATGTGGAGCTAATTTTTTTTGATTAGTTAAATTTCCTTCAACAACATGGATTTTACATAAAATTCATTTTCCACTAGAATCCTTATGAAGTAGATTATATAGTTTGAATTTTAGTAAACAGAATAATCATTGGCCATGTAATCTCAAAAGCAGGACAGAGAAATTTCTTAATCTTGTCAGAGATTAGATTACTACTTTATCTTAGAACCAGAGGGAGTCTGGTAGTACATTTTCAAATTAGTACATTTTAGGAAAAGGCATATGCTTTTGCAATCTGCAGCTCATATCAGCCACACATAATATATATTCTTAGGATGGATGTAGGATTTAAACTAGACTGAGATGTAGGGAAAGGGAGGAGAAAACAAATTGGTTAGGCAAATAGAGGTCACATGTGAAACACATTACAATATCTTCTCAATTAACAATTATAATATATTAAACACATATTCCAGATCATGGCATATATTAAATTAGAAGAAAAAAACATGTGTAAGCACCTCTAATCTCTGTGTTGAGCCATGTGATGGTGCTGTTGATGTAGATGCACATTTGAATTGTTTGAGCTGTAAAGTACAGGTGACAACCAATGGTTTTTTGTTGCTTTGTTTCTATGGTCTGTCTTTTAATAAACCCATCCTAGGAATGGATCTGGATCTTTTGTTTTGTCTATTTACCTTGTTGGATCAGTAGTACTGTACACTATTTGAAACCACTATTGGTGGTTTAATTGCATCAGGTGAACTTTTCGTCAAGTGGGTTATAACATATGTGGTTGTAGCATAAAGCTCCACTGTAGCTTATAGTTTTGGTGGTTTCTTCGGAGAAGAACAAGCCACCAAAACTAAGCCATGCAAATCCTCACCAATAAAAAGATAGAGTTTATAGACAATAGGTTTAATTAATAATATCTTGGAGCCTGGATAACTCTGCAGACAAGGCACTGCAATTTAACACCAGCTGTCTGCAATTAAAGTAAGTTCGAATCTTGCCAGGCTCAAGGTTGACTCAGCCTTCCATCTTTTCTAAGGTAGGTAAATTGAGGACCCAGTTTGTGGGGGCAATAAGCTGACTTTGTATAATATATACAAAAGTATGAAGGCTATTGCTTAACGCACTGTAAGCCGCCCTGAGTCTTTGGAGAAAGGCAGCATATAAATCAAATTAAAAAAAAAAAACATAATAAAAATAAATAAGTAGTTCATCTGTAATAACTTGAGTTACAGAAACATAATTATTACTACTCAAACTACTCAAGAAAATGTAACTTTTAAAGGCCTTCATGGGTTGGGACTAGGTTTCTTGCATCCACCTGTCCCATTAGATCTGGCTGGAGAGATCTACCTGTCTTCCTCAGAGTCATCTGACAGGACCTGGGAGAAGCAATTTTTCATGATGCCCACCCTCTTGGACCTCATTCCTCCAGGCATCTGATTGACCCTGATTTTACTGGCCTTTTATAAGGCTTTGAAATTCTGGTTTTGTCATTGATCTTAGGGTCCTAGATAAATGGCTGAGTCTGTATCATAATTTTATTCATTGTCATTGATTTGTTTTTCTTGGTTGCTATATAGTTTACATTATGTGTTTTTTATCTTAAGATAAAATAGAGTTACGAATTTGAGATAAGGGGCCATACAAGCTAAAGAAAAGAATAGAATTAATTCATTAAGTGAGAGATTGTTAAACTTACATATTAAATCATTTCAGGCAATTTTAGAAGAGCTCGACCAAACATTTTTAATGGTTTTTAAAAGATTACAATTATTAATTGATAAAATACTTGTAATCTGTCTCACAAAAAACCTGCAGCTGTGTAACCGACCAGTCTTTCCCTCCCTTCCCTCTATCACTCAGCCCAATTTAAATCTTCAATGAATCCAACCACTCTGTGCATCTGATGAAGCTGCAGCTCATAAAAATTATGCTTTTTAATAACATTTGTTAGTGGGTGAAAAATGCTATCAGACCCAATTCTGAGGCTTTGCTACCATAAACTAACACATTTATCCTACAATGTCTTATTTTGGGTAGCTGATTTCTATGGTACCATCAAATTTGCTACCTGTACTTAGAAATTATATTCCAAAGGATCCTGTTTTGACAGGAAATCTGCCAGAAATATTTCAGCCTTTGAACTGGACTGTGTTTTTCCCTTAGAGATTCACTTAAAAGGAGTCTTTCAGCTATCGCTTTAAAGTTTAGAAGTTTAGAAAACAGTCATTCAAGGAGATTTGAAGTTGGTACTCTTCATTATTGAACTGATTCCATGTCTTTATTTCTTTCTCAAAGTCCTTCTACCATTCAAGTAGTTTACCAGATCCTTAATTATTCCTGAAGGTGTTATAAAAGGCTGCTGAAAACTATACTGCTCACATCTTCAGATTGCCCCCCCACCCCCCAAAAAAGGCTAATGAAATACTTATATTTCATGCTCAATTTCAATGGTTTGCAGGAAAGTCTTAACCACTGTGGTCTATTTTTATACCATTGGGTGTAACCTACTTGATTTGCCATCAAAATTCAAACATGAAGAGTACTCTGGAGAATTTGGTCTTGAGATAATTTTAAAGAACTTTTGGAAGGGGAAAATAGGGCTACCATATCAATTGGCATGACCTAGCAAGAGAGGAAAAAATCTTTAAGAAAACACTGGTGCATAGAAATATCTGTAAACAGCTTCCTGCTCTTATGTCTTTATCTGTCCATACAGTCATCAATAGACATCAAACTCTCTATTCCAGTTTTGCTTCTGAGTATAGCTGCTGAATTAATGTTTCATGCATGTTTCAAAGACTTCTGAGTAATGAGATTTTGTTGGCATATATTCAGTGTAAACTTGAAAGAAAGGAAAAGCAAACATGAGCAAACACCCTTCTCCTTTCACTACCAGATTCATAGCAACCAGTATCTGAGGCTTCTGCACACAAATATAGTTTTCATTTAATTAGCTCAGGCATTTCTCAAACATCTTTCAATCTTTGTCTCCAAGAAAGCATTAGTGATGCATACTAAGAAATGCTTACACAGGTATGGCTATCAACCTTCATCCACCTGCATACATATTAGGGAGAATGAAATAGATTGTGATACCAGGATTAAACTGCTATTTAATTCTTTTTCTTTCACTTAGCAACTGGACAATCTTACAACAATATTTCAGATTGATTCACAATGATTTCTGTTAGGTCTATAGCCCAGTTTGGTTGAGTATTAGACTATCAAGTTTTCAATTCATTCTTTGTCTGTTTATATTTGGTGGAAAGGAATACCTCGGACAATCTTTGTTAATCTAACTTTCAAGCTTAGAGGCAAATGGTTCAACTGAATACCCATTTAGAGAAAGCAGACACAATTCTAATGAAGCCTGTGTATTTTCTTCTAAGATTATGCAAATATGAGTCATCTTAGAAGGGGCATTTTCCTTTCTCTCACACACACACTCACACACACACACGAGCAGATAACCAATAGGTTATATTGAGTGCTTGCATTAAAAGCAATGACAAATAGAAAACTATCAACAAATTAATCTTTGTTGTCAAGTAAAAGAACTGGGATCAATTAAGCGAAGGAATTTGCATATAGAAATCTAAATAAATAATTGTCCTAGCTCACTGAGGCAGGAGGCTCCTAAAATGGTCATTTGCATAGCTGCATGCAAGAGCTATGCATCAAACCTTAGAAAACAAATGCCTTTCTGTTGGGGTGCCAGACATTGGAGAACAGCCAGAGCTAAGTGAGTTCAGTACATGTCTTCTGATTATGCTGCCCAGAATGTGCAGTGGTGAGGAGAAGTAGAAATAGCCAAATGTGATGTTTATTTTCTTCTTCCATCTCCTCCTCTTACGTTTTTCACTCTACATACATACAAATTTACACACATCATATTCCTACACACTTATTTAATTTGCTTTTCAACAGGGTCTCTTTATCACTCTGATTCTGGGAGGAAAAATCTTGGCCAGCTGAATATAAACAGAAGAAAATGTGTATGCCTATGAATGAGTGCAGATCAGAGTTCTCCAACCTTTTCAGCTTTGTGGATCAGCGGGTGGGATGGGGGGGGGAGTTGAGATATAAGCTAAGAACCTTACAAAAGACAACGATCCATACCAACGCTAATATACTGCATAATGTTGCATTTTTCAAAGGGTGTGGAAATTCATAAAAATGGTGGCTTCCTTAATAAAGGGAGTGTCTGCTACCTAAGCATCAGTTTAGTGATATACTAACACCTATATAGAAATACCTAGGCTTTTAGCTAGGTATTTCTATATATTTCTCAGCGTCCAACAAATACTTTCATTCTAAATCCAGAGAGGCTGTCAGAGCAGTTGAAATAACACCCTCCATCGAAGATTATTAGCTTTCTTTTATTTGGGCAAATAACAAATATGAGTCATTAAATGAAACAACAGCGTTCTGCAAAATCCATGTGGCTGTTTTGTTTTGTTTGTTAAATTTTCCACTGCATGAAAATCAATTCCATTTATCATCTCTTGCTGACAATTCTTTTGCATATCTTATGGCAATTATTTCTTTGTCAGTCATATTTTAAAGCTAATCAGTTTGCCTAGGCTACATTCAGTGCAATTAAGTATCTACTTCTGAGACCTTAAAGCCACTTAGTGGAACCTTTAGGGGAATGGCCAAAATTAACATGTGGTAATGATGAAAGAATCGTGATAAATCTGAAAAATGCTGTTCTTTCCTTCCCTGTGATGCATTCAGTACATAGAAATAATAGAGAATCACTGGACGTCTCTTGCATTTTGTTTATCTAAAAATAAGATTCATATTTAGAGCTCCAAACCTACAGCTTTGTAGGAGACTTACATGATTGCTCTATATCAAGTGGTACCTTCTTCAAAAATGATTTGGAAAAAGGACTTGGACCTCAAAGGGACCTACCCTTCTGTATTAAAAGTCCAACCTACATAGGCTTGAAAGGATGCCCCTCATTTAAGAACTTATCTGTTGAAGCAGAAACACACATTTTTCAGGCTCAAAAAGAAAGGAAACCAGATATTCGCCACTATTGCAAAGGAAACCAGCTTTCAGAGTAAGGGAACAATGTTAACTCCATCATCCTCCATCATTCCCAACATTACAATAACGTCTAAAAGAATGAGACAAACTACAAAAGTTATTCTTTTTCTCTTGACCTCTCACTATTTTATCCACAATGAAAACCCAGTTTGGCATATCCCCAAAAGAAAAGTTGCAAAATCAGGTAGCTGAGCCTGGTGGCTCAGCAGACTGATAGCATTGTGATTAACGCCAGCTGTCTGCAATTACTGTAAGTTCGAATCTCACCAGGCTCAAGGTTGACTCAGCCTTCCATCCTTTCTAAGGTAGGTAAATTGAGGACCCAGTTTGTGGGGGCAATAAGCTGACTTTGTATAAATATACAAAAGTATGAAGGCTATTGCTTAACGCATTGTAAGCCGCCCTGAGTCTCCGGAGAAGGGCGGCATATAAATCAAATTAAAAATAAAATAAAATAAAATAAAAATAAAATAAAAATTCTCATCTGAATCCCTTCAACCCCAACTTCAGCAGGATCTTTACATAATTTGCTGAGAGAACTCCCTGATCAGGAATAGGATCTCACAGGTTGCTGACACGTCTGGAGCATGGAGGAAAAGTATTATTGATCAGGGGAGATCCACCACACAACCTGTACTCAATCTCTAGGCTATATTTAAACATGGTTTAGCACATTTTCAGAAGAGTACTAACTCTATTTTTAGAAAGAACCCAACATGTCACACTAATAGAGAATTTACATATAGTATCCATAATCTATTCATAAGACTTCTTGAAAAGTCACTAAACCTAGCATACAAAACATCCACCTACATGTTAATCTTGTCACCTACATGTCACTACATATTAAGGAGAGTGGCTGTTGAGTTTGTTTGCTTTTCTTCGGTGATGCTTAGTGGTAGGAAGCCAGGGCATTCTACCTTAACATACATTACATCAATTTAAATTATATCAAAAAGGAATCCTTTGACATACAGTGGTAGAATGAAGATAAGAAACAATGCAACAGTTTTTGTAGGAATACTTTTTTTGACAGCTAGAGAATAGCACAGCAATGCAACCAATTTTCAATGCCATTCATTCACCCAAAAGGCCTGGGGTCTTTTAAATTATGGTTTTGCACAGCAGGGCAACTGATTCCGCAAGGGTTATATAGCAGGTTGCAATCCACCACCAAAATATTTCATTCTCAGGATATTCCGTTATTGAAGCTATTGTGCTTCCTCTGTTCTGCTCTAATATTTCAAGCAAGCACAGAGAAAATTATGCAATTTTGTCTTTGTTTCTGCTCCAGGGAAAGATAACACATTTACATTACTAAATGTAGCTTTTCAGAGAAAAGTGCCCAAGTG